GCACCACTCCCGGCCTGAAAAAAATGCAAAACGGATCGGATCACTTCCAGACAGTCGCGCGATGTAGACAGATGTACAGATAGACAGATGGACCAGTTAACATGGACCAACAATCTCACCAGTGTTGAAGGATAACCACGGTTGCCTTTTTTGCAATACATGCGTTCCTGTCTTCCGTCTTTGAATTATTGCAAGTGCGAACTGAGCAAAACAAAATCCTTACTGTACGGGAGAAACCGTACTACCATTCAGCCCCGTAACATTCTTTCCATAGGGGAAACTTTGGTCGCTCTGCGGGACGGGATAAAATTATCCGATCGGAATAAAATTTTGCACACATCCTTGTGTCATAGTATCGACAAGATTTCCGACCCGGCCCGACGAATCCGACAAACTTCTCCAAAATGGACCACCCTAATGCTCACCAGTGATGTCGGTAAGGTAAAAAAATAAAAATAAAATAAAGCGTTGCTCCAGAATGTACGCGTTACTTCTTCCCATCGAGAAATTAAACTTCCATTATTTTGTATTTAATTTTTTTTTTTTTATGCTACATTGCAGAATGAATTTACTCATACAGGTACATGCAGGATGCAGGGCAGCCTGGTGGATCAGTGGTTAGCACGTTGACCTCACAGTGCAGAGGTACCGGGTTCGATTTCAGCTATGGCCTTCTTGTGTGGAGTTTGCGTGTTCTCCCCGGCCCTGTGTGGGTTTTCTCCGGGTACTCCGGTTTCCTCCCACATTCCAAAAACTTGAGCGTGGATGGTTGTTCGTCTGCGATTGGCTGGCAACTGGTTCAGAGTGTCCCCCGCCTACTGCCCAAAGACGGCTGGGATAGGCTCCGGCACCCACCGCGACCCTTGTGAGGTTAAAGTGGTTTGGAAAATGGAAGTATGGATGCAGGATGCATCAACAATAAAAGAACAGACTCGTAAGGCTTCTTTATTGCAATGCTGCACACAGGTTACCATTGCACTCGTGTGCCTCCACTCGTGTCGCTTTGAAAACGTGCTGCAGTTTCACTCCAAGTCAGGAGTGTTGCGATGGCTAATATTGGATAGAACCCCACAGGATGTAGTTTTCTCTGCCTTTTACGGCCAATTCCGGTAACCGTTTTACTTTGCGAAACAAGGAACAAAGCGACAACAATGGAGAGCGTTTAACATTGCCATTGAGGAAAAATGGACTGTCATGTCGATGTCCAGTTGATGTGTTTAATTGTATTGTGAAAGAAGTACCAGATGTACAACCGAAAAGCCACACACTGTGCCATTTTTGACAAGAACGTGAAAACACAGCAAAGAAATCACTGCATCAAGTTCAACGCAAGATGGCCGACGTTGGCTTTGCTCGTCGTTACAGCGAGTAAGCGCAACCGGCGAAAGCGGAGTAGGTCATCGAAGCATGTGACCAAAGAGACCAATCGCGAGAGAGGATAAGGCCTGCATTCTACACACAGCAACAATTTCTGTTGTGCGCGCGGCATGTGCTGCAAACGTGTGGCAGATGTGCCACGTGGCACAACGCGTCATTCATGTGATGCAATGCAGCAATTGTCGGGACTACAGAAAACACCTTCATACCATCACAGACAGTTACCGCTTGGAATGGGCGGATCGATACCAAAATATTGATATTTTGATCAGGAGTACTCAATTTTAATAAGCTAAAGTATCAACATTTGCAATTAGCTTATTTTATTTTCTTTATCTCTATTTTTTTGTGTATTTTTCTGCAAACAAACTACTTTTTCCTTCTGCACGGTCGGACGCACCGGCATCTGCGCCCATCCACTCTTAATGTCCCAAACCCATCCCAAGCACACTTTTCCTCCACCATCATCAACATGTACAAGCTTTGCGGTGGCATTGTCGGGGCGAAAAGAAATTGAGGCTGATGTGCAATATGAAACAATTAACATGACGCTACATTATTTTCCGTCATCTTATATAAAGTTTGCACTGTTGTATATACTTTGTAATATAATGCTATACATTCTACTGGTGAAAGCGACGTTAATACCATATTAAAGAAAAGAAAAAAAAATTGTTAAAACAACATGCCCTGCCTATATTTAACACACTGAAATACTACCGCACATGGTGACAAGAAGTGGTCACAAAATAGGTTGAAGTAGTTTGGTTCAAGTGATGTGTGCGCATTCATTGGTGTGAGTGCAGAACACGTGCTTTTGTTCGCAGTTTTGTGTAGAAACAAAACAGTAAAGTCGTGTTTTTAAAGTGTTTCATTTCTATGAAATTGGGTTTTCACTTATTTGAATATTGCATGAAATATATTTTTCACCACACACTGCAAAGAAACAGCAACAACAAAAGGCTTGTATAAGATAATTTGGGGAGTGGGATAATTGTGTTTACGTTCATTTCAATCGGAAATATTACCTCTATTTATGAAAGTTTCAAGCTACTTACGAGCTCACGGAACCAATTAAGTTCGTAACTTCAGATTACACTTTATGGGCCCTATTTTCTGCCAGGCGCAAGTCTAGTGAAAAGCGCAGTCAAAATGTACGCATGGGTGAAGTATTCTTCATCCATCCATTTTCAACACCGCTTATCCTGAAGAGGGTTGCAGGTGGGTGCTGGAATCTATCCCAGCTGACTTCGGGTGAAAGGCGCACAACACCCTGAACTGGTCACCAGTCAGTCGCAAGGCAAATTTTGAGACAAACAACCATTCCCACCCACATCCACACTGTCACTGAGTGGGAATCTACGCTGCTTGAACACAAGTCAGGCGAGTGTACCACTACACCATAAGCGAATTCTGAAATATTCTTTGTTTTGGTATTTTGCCAGACTTTGCACCAGTATCATTGGGCATAACGGGGTGTTCGCGCTGTGGGATGGAAGTACACTTTTCCCGGCCCGTTCTCACAGCATCCCTCATTTTCTCATTTGCATGAACTTTCTGAACGGCTGAGCTAAAAATCCGGGCCACCGACTCGCCGAAAAAACGCAGTGGAAGGTACAACTCAGGCTGGCACCCATTCTGTATAACCCAAAACATATTCATATTCAGGATGTAGTTGGACCTTTCTTGAAGCATATTCCCCCTCTATCCGACCAGGTTGGCCCTTCAACATGCACACTAATCAATTATTCAGAGATGAAAGTGGACTTTTCTGAAAATTCCGGAAAAAATAAAGAAATAAATAAGTGTGTGTGTGTGTGTGCGTGTACACACACACACACACACACACACACACACACACACACGCACTTAGACGATCAAGCATGAATTAGTTTACACAAAACGCTATTCAAATACTCGACATTCAATGATTAATCTTCCTTTTGAGTGCACACGTGT